ATCGGTGGTTAGATTGTCTCTTATTCGTGCTGGTCATAACCTGGCATTTGTGCAGCACAAATGTTACTTGCCACTTGTCAGCCCAAGCCTGGATATTGTCCAGATCTTGTTGCATTTGAACATGGACTGCTTCAGTATCTGAGGAGTTGTGAATGATGCTGAACATTGCGCAATCATCGGTGAACATCCCCTCTTCTGACCTTATGACGGAGAGGAGGTCATTGATGAAGCAGCTGAAGGTGGTTGGGCCGAGGACATTACCCTGAGGATAAGGTGGTAAAAAAGGCGACAACCTGGTTGTCTACATTAGTCAGGGCATCGAGAGTAAAAGTTGGCAAGTCATTCCGTAGCTGTTTAAAACTCTATTTAGGCCAAATTTGGAGTATTGTGTGCACTTCTGTTTGCCACACTATAGGATGGATGTGAAGGCTTTGGAGACAGTGCAAAAGTGGTTTACCAGGATTTTTCCCAGATTGGAGTTTATTAATTATAAGGAGAGGTTGGATAAAGTTGGATTATTTTTGCTAGAGCGGCGGAAGCTGAAGGGTTACCTGATAAAAGTAGATAAAATTGAGATGCATGGATAGAGCGGTTAGTCGGAGTCTTTTTCCTAGGGTGGTAATGTCAAATACTAGGAAACATAGGTTTAAGATAAAAGGACAAAAGTTAAAAGGAAATGTGCAAGGCAAGTTTTTTTTGTCAAGCCTGTTAAGAGTCTGTTATGTTTCAATGAGATTACCTCTCATTCTTCTAAACTACAATGGGTAGAGTTCCAACCTGTTTAGTCTTTGTTCATAAGACGATCCCTCCAAACTGGGGATCATCCCAGTGAACCTTTTCTGAACTGCCTACAAAGAAATGATATCCTTCCTTAAATAGGGGGACCGAAGCTGCTCACAGTACACCAGGTGTGGTCTCACCAGTAGCTTGACAGTTGCAGTAAGACTTCTCTTATACTCCAACCCCCTTGAAATTCTCTGTGGAACCACATTCTAGACCTTTCATAGAATGATATTCTATGCCATTGGTACCTATACGGACCATGACGACTGGATCCTCCCATTGCAGGTTCATTTCCAGCCTGACCTCTGGCATTGGGCAGGAAACACAGTTAGTTAGACTGCCTTTTTTTTGCTGCAGAGAATGATCTCAATCTCCCTTATTATTATATACTATCACCTCTATACTCTTTACCATTTACACCCCCACCTCCTCTCCATCTCCCTCCCCTTCCCAACAACTGCCTCATCCTTTCCTCCTCCCCTTTCTCTCTCCTTGGGATCAATGATTACTTTCTTATACTTGAATGTTCTGGGTTGTGAGGTGCCTAAGTCATCCAATATCAATACCAAAACCACTAACCCTGTCACAGGTGGGGCAAATGCAGTTCTCTGAATATGGCAGGTGGAATATTTGAGTTTTCGTACACTCTATCTTTTGTTCGGACTTGTCTTCAATCTAGCCTTCTTGGAGAAGCTCAAAACACTGGCGCCTTCAGTTTGGGTGACATCTGGCTGAATGTTCCCATTTGTCAGTGGCAATTTTGAATACTTTTGCATTTTGCACATTATCTTTTGAATATTTTGCTGCAAATACTTTTGCCAATTCCTGGTTCTATTTTCTATGCTTCTATTTGGGGAGGCATCACTGATGATACTTCTCAACAGATCTGAACTGTCTGCTGTGTCTATGTCTCCAACTCATATGGGGAGCCGGTAACACATTGCACTATAGAGTGGTGTGGACAGGCTGGTAAAGGCCTGTTGTCTTCTGGATATTTCTGATTTTGTTTTATGAATACATCGGCCATAGTTTGGAGATCAGCTCTGAGTGTGCCCATTTGGAAGCATCATCTGGCCTTCTTGGAGAAGCTCAAAACACTTGGCGCTTTCAGTTCTGCAGCTCATGACAGAAGGAGAGTGTTAATTCTGGACTGAAGATGTGACAGGCTGAACAGTTTCTAGTTTGTCCTGTATATTAGCTCCACATTAGAAAAGCTTCCGCTATTCAGAATATCTTTTTCCTGTCATTTCCTTGTGTCCTTTGTAAATGCTTATACAATTTGCTTTTTAAGTTATGTTTTCTCTGTTGTGTCACTACCTTATTGTAAATTATTCCATGTTCCAGTATTTCATTTCTTCTAACTTCACTTCTTCTTGTTACAATACTGAATCGGTGTTCGAATGCTCCTATGGGTTCACACATTAATAGAAATCATTTTAATTATCTACTCAAAAGATTTTTGTAATTGTAAGTGCCTCTATTAAATTCTCTTCAACTATTGTTACACTGAAGAGAGTTAGTTTTTAAAATTCTTTGGATCATGATCTTGATTATTCCAACCCTTTGTATCATGGCTCAGTCAAGTAGCACTTGCCTCTGGTTCAGAGGTTTCTGAGCTTAATTCCAGAGGCTTGATAGTTATTTGCTAAACTGTCAGGTACCTTCTTTCAGATGTGATGTTAAGCCAAGTCTCTCTCTCCACCTCAGACGGACATGAAAGATGCTATTGCACTGTTGTGAATAAGAGCTATCCCCAATGTGTTTGTTAATATTTATCAACCAATCAGTAGGTTTGATTTTACATGTTCTTGTTGGTGTATTTTCAGCAGGAGGGTATGCTTTTCAAAAAAAAAGCAGGTGCCTACACTGCCCCATCCCACTCATCACCAAACTGTGCTCCATAATACAGAGGTAATCAGCAGGAACACTGCCAAAATCAGCACCCTACCCAGCATATGTAAATAAGTAATTAAGGGTCAGTTGAGCATCATTGCCCTGCCCATGTTGTATAACAGTTGGTGAGGCAGATGGGCAGGAGCATATTCAGCCCTTTTTTCTAAATTACTAATTTTTAAAGTTGAAAGAAAAGGATACTGTCTCCAGAAGGTGTCTCTTGTTCATTGCGACACTGCCGCAGAAGATAATATTCCTTTTCTTCCTCCCCACATAAGCCTAAGCACTCATTCCTCTGTCCCATAGCAGTCTCGGCTCCACTCCACTCCAAGATGGGCAAACCTTCCTGCCCAGTAATGTCCCAAAGCTCCTTCCTAAACCCCTATACAATTCTGCATGTTTTCACTGAAACAGATTATCTAGTCATTAGCATGTTGCTCCTCAGGGGAGCCTGTTATTTGCAAATTGATTGCCACATTTCCTGTATTACAGAGTGATACTCTTCACACGACTTTCATGAATCCAATCAGTGTTTTGAAATGACGTGTGGTCATGAAAGATAGAAACAAAAGATTTGCATTTATAAACTATATTGTAGCTCTCACTGCTCTACCTGTTGTATAAATAATATTTTGTACAAGTTAATTTTTATATTAATATAAAACCCATAATTATTGTGATCGGCTGTTTCATTCCTTTTACTAACTCTACTGGACTGCACCTTTTAGACTCTACTGTTCTGTTTTCTTTTATGTCTTGTAGGTGCCTGTTTATCTATTTCCAGTTGAAAAGCCCAAACAATTTAAAGGCAGTAGTTCAAAATGTAATACAGTTATTTGAGTTGTTTATTATATTTTATCAGTTTGAGTCCAGAAATGTTTAGGTGGATAGGCAGTTACACAAGGCTTGAAGAATTTTCCTTGTGTGCCCCCGGCCCCCTCAAAAAACAGAAAATCTACATGCCATGCCATATGCTATTAATGTTATTCCGCATCACATCTCATCTAAGGTATTGAACCATTTCCTTCAAAGTGAGGTTTTTAAATGCCTCATTTAAATGTATGAAAAGAAATTTTCAGACAACCAGATACTATACTCAGAACTCAAAAATGAAGCTAAAACTTTGTCCTCTTATACACAAATCAAGCTTAAAGCTGTATATAGTTCTGAAACTTGAGTTCCACTTTAGAACCCACGGTTTCCATATAACATAACATATATGCTTCAGTGTCATCTACTGTCGAAATTGTCCCCCTGACTTTTAGTTTGGAGTTTAAAGTTTTCCAACGTACTTGTAGCCAGTGTTTGTCTTTCAATGGTTCATAAACTTGAACCCTCCAAAACTGTGTTTTCTGTGCCCTTATTTTCACCAATTTCAACTGTACGATCATGTTTTAAAATTGTTTTTTGTTCAGAGTTGCCCATAACTCACCTCCCTCAATTTTTGTAATTTTAATTTGCTGCCACAAATATGCTGGACATCTGTACTCATCTGATTGGCCCCTCAAGCATCTTCAGTTTTTAATTATTCCATCATTGGTAGCCATCCCTTCCACGACTCAAGCTCTAAACTATGGACTTCTCTGCTTGGACCTTTGGGCATAGCATCACCAGAACTTCCTGATCCAATGAAAAACTATAATATTATGCTGTATGAGTGCAGAACAAGAAGGCATAATATTGAAATTGGAATCAAGTCATTTAATAATGAAATCAGGAAGCACTCCTTTGCACAAAATGTGCTGCCTGTCTTGAACCCAAAAATGCTAGTGGCTTGGGAGTGGGCTCCTTTTTAAAAATCTATTCCAGTTTTAAATTTTACAGATGTTGAGATATATAGAGTAATGGCAAGTAAATGGAGTTGATGTACATATCAGCCATGACCTAACTGAATAGTGAAACAGATTCAAGGAGCCGATTGACTAGCTCCTATTCCTCCATTTTTAATCTTACTGAATATCTGCAAGCATGTGTATTCTTCCAGTTCAGAATAACACCCTGTAGAAGAATCATAGTAGAAAAATAAGTAATGTGTATGAAATTGTGAAATGATGTTGGGCTTTTTATAGCTTTAAAAATGTATTTTTCCTTAATGAGTTTACATTTCAATTCCTATGATTAATTATGAACCACTTCCAACTGTTAATGGTCCACTCTCCTTATGAAAAGACCTACTGAGTGTAAAATTGTACCTCTTATTAAACCAAATCAAAATGACGAATGTTATATAATGTGTTGCCCAGAATGTGATGAGTATATAAATTTTGGTTCATATTCATAAAGGGAAAAATAATGATTTTTTTCCTTCATTTTTCTTTCCTTAGATTCGAGAACAAAATCTTCAGGATATAAAGACTGCGGGTCCTCAATCTCAGTTATTATGTGGTGTTGTACTCGATAGATCCTTTGCTCAGGTGAGAACATAATGTTACATAGAAGAAAATATTTTGACTACTTGTCATCTAGTTTGTCTATCTGTCACTAATTTCCCTAACATTTTGCAAACACTTCTTCAAATGGCAGAATTTATCTATGTGGGAGGTAAGTACTAGTGATATTCTGTTGTCTAATATGCAAAATATTCAAACAAGAATGCAGATATGGCAGCACAAAAACAATATTGACAGTTGAGCAATAGCATGCTAATCAGAGCTCCTGCCAACCATTGCTGAATGTAGCCATCTTTGCATGTCTTATGTACTTCTAGACATTATGCTGTTACAGAATTGTAAGCATGCTGAGTAGACTAGTCAGGCTTTCAAAACCTCATTTGACTGGTGCCATTTAATTGATTGGTTGAAGTACAGTTCAGAGCTTAAGTTCTTGGGCCTGTGATGCAAGGTCATAATGTAAGAAGATGGTTTTGTCATTCAAAATAGCAAAGCATCTGAAAAAGGAATGAGTAAACTGCAAAGCTTTCCCGGACGTCTTTTGCATAAATTCTTACATCATAACTGCATTAGGTCTTTGCAACTTGCTTATAGTAGCTAGGTAATAGCTTGACTGTTTTATTTAATTCATGTAGTGCTTAATGTATTTGACATGATTCAAACTTTACTTGGGTCTACCTGAGATGAGTTACAAATGGAACAAGTTTTTTTTTGGTTTTGAGTGTCAATAAACTGGGACTTCAATTTCAATAATTAACATCAGGCGCCCCAAAAGACAAAGAAGTTTTCTTCACAGCACATACCAAGTACAGGATTAGTTATGTTTCTTTAAAACTCTTGAAGTTTCTATAATGGTATATGAGATCATGAAAGTTTGACTGGTTGAAAGCTTTCTGTGTGCTCATCATTAGAGTTGGGTTTATAGCCTGCATGCCATGCTCTCCTAGCCATCCTGCTACTGGAATACATAAGTTGCATGAAAGTGACTTGATAACGTAACGGATTTTAGTTATCCAGTCTTTAAGGGAGGGTATGGTTTGCACTGTTTACTCAATTTACTGTTGCAGGATGCACCTCTCTCAGACTGTACGGAGTTTATTGATGGTCTCGATCTCTCAAAGCAAGCCTTAAATCCCGCTAACCCTGTTAGAAAGGTACTTACTGACCTGTTTTGTTGAACTCTGCACCTGTTATCACTTTTTCTAACCCAATATCTCTGCTCTGCTCTAAAATGCTTGTTTTTTTTTAAATCTAGATTGAGTTGCTATTAACTCTGGCTTACTAAAATCCATAATAATAATGCAGAAAGGTACTGAAGAACCAAGTTATAATTCAAGTATTCATAAGGCTCAAAAACAAAGTTGCTGGAAAAGCTCAGCAGGTCTGGCAGCATCTGTGGAGGAGAAAACAGAGTTAACGTTTTCTGTTGACTAAAGCAGCTATTGAAGAAGAGATCCAGCATCGCCTCCAGTGTGCTAGCGCAACCTTCAGCCGCCTTAAGGAACTCAGAACTCAGTTCTGAGGAAGGGTCACCAGACCCGAAACGTTAACTCTGTTTTCTCATCCACAGATGCTGCCAGACCTGCTGAGCTTTTCCAGCAACTTTGTTTTTGTTCCTGATTTACAGCATCCGCAGTTCTTTTGGTTTTTATTCATAAGGCTGTTTTTAGAGTCTTCTTCCTGGTGTTTACATGAAATGTTGAATTAGATATCTTATAACTTTATTGTAGAATAAATTTAGGCAGTGAAGTATGTGATTCCTGAAATCATTATTTTAGAAATGTTTATCAGACTTGCATATATACAGAACATATATAGAAAAAAACAAAAATCCTGGAAATTGAACTAACAGGAACTATTTGTAAACAAAGAAGATCTAATTCACAGACTTGTGGCTTTGGAATTTAGATTATTGCAAGATGTGCTACAGCAGCTGGATTGCAGATTTATGGTCCTGATATTAACCTATTGTTATCCCACCACAATTGAGTTAATTCAAATCAGGAAATAAAAGCCACTTTCAGTAACTGTGACCATGACCACCTAGTTCACTAATGCCTTTAAAAGCAACTTGTAGAATAGACAAGAGAGATCCAGTAGCGGTATGTTTGGATTTCAAGAAGTTTTTAATAAGTCCCACACAAGAGGCTGGTGGTCAAAATTAAAACACACAGGATCGCAGGTAATGTACTTGCGTGGATTGAGAATTGATTGACAGACAGGAATCAGGAACAAATGGGTCTTCATTCTGGCTGGCCGAATGGTGACCAGTGGAGTACTGCCGATATCAGTGCTTGGGGCTCCAGCTATTCACAATGTATATAAATGACTTGGATGAGGGAACCAAACAAAACATTATAAATTTTCTGATGATGCAAAATTAGGTGGGATTGTGAGTTGTGGAGGGGATGTCAGGAGGCTTCAAGGCAATCTAGACAAGTTGAGTGTGTGGACAAAAACACGTGGCAGATGCAGTATAGCTTGGATAAATTTGAAGTTATACACTTTGATGTGAAAAGCAGAAAGACAGTATTATTTAGTGGAAATACATTGTAAAAGGTGGATGTACAAGGGATCTGGGTGTTCTTGTACACCAGCCAATTAAATCAGACGGATACTGCAAGCAATTGAGTCATAGAGGTCTACAGCACAGAAAAAGACCCTTTGGTTCAATGAGTCTGCGCCATTACCTTGAAAGTGTCCTGTTGACTAAAGCAGCTATTGAAGAAAGATCCAGCATCGCCTCCAGTGTGCTAGCGCAACCTTCAGCCGCCTTGAGGAAATAGGTGTTCAAGAACAACAACATCATATCTGACACCAAGAGCATGATTTACAGAGCTTTGCTGGTTCCAGACCTCCTCTATGGTCCAAGACATGGACTGTCTACAGCAGACACCTCAAGGCACTGGAGCAGTACCAACAATGCTGCCTACGCAAGATCCTGCGAATCCGCTGGGAAGAAAGTTGCACCAACACCAGCGTCCTCAACCAGGCCAACATCATCAACATCGAGGCACTGGCCACCCTTGCTTGGCTACAAGTGGGCTGGGCATTTGTTGTCCGTGTGACCAAGATGAGATTCCACAAGCAGGTGCTGCATTCCCAGCTTGGAAACGGCAGGTGAGCCCAGGTGGACAGAGCAAGCACTTCACTGATACCCTCAAGGTCTCATTGGTGAAGTGTGACATTCCCACCTGGGAATCACTGGCCCAAGACTGTCCAAAGTGGAGGAGGAGCATCTTGGGAAGCGTCAAGCACCTCGAAACTTGCCATCTGGAAAAAGCAGACACCAGGCAAAAACAGCAAAAGGAGCACCTTGCCACACCAACGCCTCACCCACCCCTTCCCTTGATCACTACCTGTCCCAAATATAACAGAGCCTGCGGTAACCATATCAGTCTCTACAGCCACCTACAGGCTCATCCTCATCGTCATCATCATCCTCGTCAGTAAGGGACCGCCGATGGTGATGATGATACCTTAGCACCACAAGTATACATCTAAATACTTTTAAATGTTATGAGGGTTTCTGCCTCTATTTCTACCACCCTCCTACCCCTTGCATTAGATTTACGCCCCCGGTCATTAATCCTTCCATCACGAGGAAATGTTTCTTCCGGTCTTCCCTATAACATATGTCTTAATCATGTCCCATCACTCAGGCTTCTCTGCTCTAATGAAAACAACCCCCTCCATCTGATCTTTCTTATAATTAACACTCTCCAACCCAGGCAAAATCCTGGAAAATTTCTTCTGCAGCCTCTCCAATGCAATCTCATTCCTCTTATAATATGGATCCCATATTTTATGTAAGTATGCATTCTATCTGCTAAAAAAATGCATTGGAAACTAATAATCAATCTTGTCATTTTTCTGAGGAAGGGTCCCAACCCGAAACGTCAGTTTTCCTGTTCCTGTGATGCTGCCTGGCTTGCTGTGTTCCTCTAGCTCCACACTTTGTAATCTCTGACTCCAGCATCTGCAGTTCTTGCCTTCTCAATCAATTTTGTCATTTTTTTTTTGGAATGAAACATTTTTCACATACCCTATAATTGGTTTAGTGACAGGAGGCAGAGGATGCTGGTGGAAGGCTGTATACGTGACTACAGCCTGGCATGCAGTGGCATTCCATAGGGATCACTTTTTGGGTCCCTTATTGTTTATGATCTACAGAAAAGATGTAGATGAGAATGTGAGGGTGGTGCTAAGTAAGCTTATGGATGATACAAAGGTTGGCTGGGCGGTTGACTGTGAGGAAGAAGGTGTTAGATTACAGGAGGATATAAACGGATTGGTCAGATGGAATTTAACCCTGACAAATGTGAGGTGACAGACTCTTTGGAAGAAGGAACAAGATAGGGGAGTACTCAACGAGTGGCAGAATACTAGGAAGTTCAGAAGAACACAAGGATCTTGGGATGCTTGTCCACAGATTCCAGAAGGTGGCATGAGAGGCTGATAGGGACGCTAAGTAGGCATTTTTTTTTCTTTATTCATTGACAGGATGAGGGCATCGCTGGTTAGGCAGCATTTATTGCTCATTCCACAGTTAAAAGTCAACCACATTACTGTGGGTTTGGAGTCACATGTAGGCCAGACCAGGTAAGAATCGCAGTTGCCTTCTCTAAAGGACATTAGTGAACCAGATGGGTTTTTCCTGACAATCGACAACGGATTCACGGTCATCATTAGATTCTTAATTCCACATATTTATTGAATTCAAATTCCACCATCTGCTGTGGCGAGATTCGATCCCCGGTCTCCAGAACATTATCTGGGTCTCTGGATTAACAGTCCAGTGATAATACCACTAGACAATCAGCTCCCCATATGAGATGCTTGCCTTTGTCAGTTGTGCATGAATCACAGAAAACTAGCGTGCAGGTGCAGGAAGGAATAAGGAAGGCAAATGGAATTTTGCCGTTTTATTGCTAAAAGAGTATAAAAGTAGGGAAGTGTTGCTGAAACTGTATAAGACATTAGTGAGTCTACACCTGAAGCATTGCTTACAGTTTTGGTCTCCATGTTTGAGGAAGGATGTAGTTGTATTGGAGGTGTTTCAGAGAAGGTTTATTAGATTGTTTTCAGAGATGTGTTTGTCTTATGAAAAGAGATGGAGCAGTTCAGGCTTGTACTGTGTGGAATTTACATGAATGGGAGGAGATCTTATTGACATGTATAAGATGCTAAATGGGATTGACAAATTAGATGTAGAGAAGATGTTTCCTTGTGGGGCAATCTAAAACAAGAGGCCGTAATTTTAGGATAAATGCTGGCAGATTTAAAGCAGAAAGGGTCATGAATATGTGGAATTCACTACTCCAGAGTGTGGTGGAAGTTGAAGTTGAGTAAATTTGAGGAGGAGATTTTTGTTTAAATATTATCATTAGTAATGGCTCGGAGGTTTATGGAGAGCAAGCAGGAAAGTGGAGTTGAGGCCATGATGAGATCAGCCATGATCCTATTAAATAGTGCTGCAGGCTTGAGGGGCTGAATTGTCTACTCCTGCTCCTGGATCTTGTTATTACTGTTGACGTGATGTATAATATTTGAAACAATTGACAATAATAAATTTGATGTTTTGGTACTTGGTGGCAAAGTTCAATACACAGTCTAATATTAATGGTTGCATGCTTTCATGTTCTTGAATTGGCTTAGCAATGCTATTCTTGCTTATTGTATTGTATGTATTTTAATGAAGGTTCTAGTTTGATAACCTGAAATAAAATTTACTTTTCTAAATTGTACCTGTGTATTTTGCTTTAATTGGCATGGTATGTCTGAATGACCCTTAGACATTTTTATTAAGAATAAAAATTTTAATTTGTCTTTCTATACTTCCAAAAAAATTAAACATTGC